CATTCATTCATTAAACAATTATTTAAGGAACCTCTGGAATATGGCAGCAGTAGGACTGGTACCAGACAGAAGGCCATTCTGGCTGTTGCAGGGAGATTGGGACACAAGAGATGGAAAGGTCTGTCCACCACAGACCCATACATATGCAAAAACAGTTTTAAAACCAACTCTTCTATATACATCTCCTGAAGAAGGCAGGAAAGCTTTCTCTTCTTCTGGAGGGCACAAAATTTATTTCATCACTTTGTCCCAATCTGGTCAGTGTCCAGGAACTGTCATGTCTCTGAGGCCTCCTCACATCCAGATTCCCACCTCCTTCCTCTTCCCTCTGTCCCTGGGCCTGGGGTGAGAGTATCTGAGTGCACAGCTGCAGGAACTGGAGAGGCTGAAACTGCAGAGCCTGGAGGAGCAAAGGCTTCAGGAGGTAGAGATGTTGGGTCTTCAACCTCCACCCTGCCCACAGGATGAGGTGGGAGGTTAGAGTGTCAAAACCCAGGCCTAGAGAAAGAAGACAGTGTGATGCCCAACAGTAACTTTTTAATATATATTTTTTATGTTTGTAGCAGCTTTAATTCTACAGAGAAATTGAGCAGAAAGTACAGTTTATTCCCATACCCTCCCTTACCAACATATACAGTTTATCCTATTATTGACATGTTACATTACTGTGCTACATTTGTTACAATTATGAGTCAGTATTGATATATTGTTATTAACTTAATTTTACATTAGGCTTCCCTCTCCATATTGCACAGCTCTATGGGTTTTGAAAAATGCGTAATGTTGTGTATTCACCATCACAGTATCATACAGAATCGTTTCATGTGCTTAAAATCCTCTGTGCTCCACCTATTTATTCCTCGCTCCTTCCCTCATCCCAAAAAACACTGGAAACCACTGATTTTTTTCCATTATTTCAAACATTCATCATTTCTTTGTCCTGACAGTAATTATTTTTTATCGAAACATATTAATTGTACATATTTATAGGATACAGAGTTATATCTCAATATATGTATACAATGCGTGATGATCCATTCTGGGCAATCAGCATATTCATCCTTGCAAAACCCAATCATTTCTTTGTCATGTGCACATTTCATCCCCCCTGTCCTAGTCATTTGGTAACATGCAGTAAGTCATTCCAAGAGTTACTCCTTACTCTGAAAGAAAAATGATCTAAAGGAATCCTGTTGCTTGGTGGGTTAATTTATTTGGTAATGGAAGTTATGAATAAGAATCTTTCTGTGGGAGCTTCCTAGGTCATTTCCCTCTTGTTGATTTCCTAATGCTGCACGGTGATTTAGCACTGAGCTTCATCTGCTGGAAGATGTAGCCCTGGGTGAACACCAGAAACCCTACAGCTCTTGCCACAGATGCCACATCTGATGCACCATTTGAACTTCACCACTAGTGGGGAGGACACCTGTGACCCTTGCAGGAGGAAGAGTGAAGTGAGGATCTTAGAGGTTAGGGGCCTTCCCTGCAAATTGTGGAGCTAAGGAGTGTTCATTCTGGCTTTTCCCACTCTGTATGATATAAGGAAGCAAGGATCATGCGTTTGTGCTCAGGAAATAACTGTGTGAAAAGTGGACATCTGGATCCTTACC